AGTAGTCTATTAATGAATCTGATATCAGTGGTAAGGGAGAAGAGAAGCTTCATTGCAAAAATCAGTACATAATAACCAAAAAAGATATGTTTAAAAGGCCAGCAAAAACACCTTTCATTAGATAGCCAGATATCTATCTGACCTCAGTTCATAATGCTATTTTTTATGTAAAAAATCCTGTCAGAAACCGTATTATCTCTAGGAAAACTTACTATTGAAGAACTGTATCTCTAGCTCCACTGAAATTAATAGCCTCTGGATTTATTTTTTAGAATTAATTAATTCTAATTTGTTCTGGCAGCCCAACTCCAATTGATGTCCAAAAGATGCACGGTCTTTCATACTGAAACTCTGGAATGCCTTCTCAACAAACAGCAACACGAGTCTGGTTGCATATCCAAAAGTTAGTCTTTTACACGGGGCTTAAACTGAGACTGCCAAATATTTTCTACCATATCGATTTAAAAACACCAAACAGCCTTGGAAAGAACTGGGAGATGAAGTAACTTTTTGAATCTGGATTTTCTGTAAACCTTTATGTTCAATCAGTACATTGGCAAATAACATGAAAAGGATGTCTGCCACCACCTAAGCAAATAAGAAAGTTTCTCTCTCTCTCCCTTCTAGGATGATTTTAGGGGCCAAATTCAGGAGTATTTAAGGAACTATTTATATATTCAGGTTGGTATCTTGACATATAGCGCTCCATTCTACTTATATGGGATGTTATATATTAAGAAGTGAGCCTAAACTAAGCAACACAGCAAAAGAAATTCAATTAACCACATTAAAATCATAGTAGCGTCCAATAGCTGTTTCTTTTACACTGCTGATGATAATCCCAAAGAATACAAGTCTCCAGGGCCACTGACTAGTACAACTGGCAATAATTCACTCCAATGGATTCAGGCTGTTTTTTGGAGATAGGAGAGACTCATATTCATATAGATAAGAAGCAAACACATACACATATCTTTGTTTGTTTTGTTCCTTAGGAGGATTGTTTTGCTTTTGTTGAGATTATTAAAAAGGACAAAAGGACAAAACCTAAAAGATAGCACATATTTGTATATTCCCTCCCCCTTTTCTCTTGTGTAATATTTAAACAAAAAAGGGAACTGATTTCATGGTTTGCATCAACAATTTCAAAGCTGAGACTTCAATGTTTTTTTTAAAATACAGTCTCATTGCTTTACTCAGGCATGCATTGTTCTTTCTAAAGTGTAGAGCTATGTATCAATGAAGAGTCTCCGTTAGAGTCACAGCAACTGATTTTTTTTTCTTTTTTTGATTTGAAAGGTTTAGCTGTAGCTTCTTCAGATTTTCTTTAAAAGCAGACTTTAGCTAATGATTTCTATTATGAATTGTACTACTCTTCATTACAACTACTATGGAAAAGAGTCAGTTTGGTGTAGCAATTAAGGTACCAGGTTAGAAACTGGGAGATCTCTAATTCTAGTCTTGCTTTAGGGCATGAAGCCTGCTGGGTAGCTTTAGTTTAGTCATTCTCTCTCAGCCAGAGGAAACAGGCAGTAGCAAACCACTTCTAAACTCTTGCCAACAAAAATGCCAAGACTTGTCCAGGCAGTCATCAGGAGTCAATAATGACTTAAAGGTGTGCACACAAAAACAAATAAACAAACACACACACATGGAACTCTCAACAAAAAAATTTCCATCCCACCTTGAGCTATCTAACATGCAAACAAGAAAATTCTTTCATTGTTGATATCATACAAAATTAGAGAAGTTTGTTCAATAGCTATGGCCAGCTGCAAAATATTCACATAATTCAATACCTTTTACTTGTATAAATCAGCACATTTTAAATCACAGACAATATATGTATGTGTGTGTGTGTACACACACACACACACACACACACACACAGCCATAGAGATTGAAAAAAGACCTGAAAGTATGAATAGAAGAGATGACTCCACCAGACTGTCAATTATTTGGAATCCTGCACTCTCAAACAAAAAAATCTCCACACCACAAGCCAGTCAAACACCTGGGCACAAACAGACTCCCCCTGATACCTCCAACTCAAACACACCCCAACCAGGCACCCAGATGAAACCTAGCTTTCTAATAAATGATAACCGTACATTTACTCGGAACCAAGCCGCACTAAAAGCCTCCAATACAGGAAACACACTGTTGCCAGCCAATCAAGACCAAAAAAAGCTACAAAACAGACAGAAGATATTAGAAACACCAATCAAGCAGAACACAGCAAACTCCAAGACCAATAAACACAGACCAAGACTCCCAAACAATCAGGATGAAGAAAAAATCATTCTTACACAGCAGTAGGCTAGCACCAAATTTAAAACAAAAACGGCTGTGAAAGTCTGACTTACAGACCAAATGCAATACAGAAGCCTGATGATGGCAGATGAGATTCTGCCGAAACGTTGCTACAACTTTAAAAGCACAACTATAATGACGTGGGAAAATACCCGAAGAAAGCTGAATACCATATATATACATATACGTATACGTATACATATATATACATATACATATATCTATATCTATATCTATATCTATATATTTGTTTTCTTAAGTCTTCGCGGGTACTTACATGTATGGCATTCAGCTTTGTTCAGGTATTTTCCCACGTCATTATAGTTGTGCTTTTAAAGTTGTAGCAACATTGTAGCAACTTTTACTGTAAAAGTCTGACTCACAGACGAACACAATACAGAAGCCTGATGATGCCAGATGAGATTCTGCCGAAACGTTGCTACAACTTTAAAAGCACAACTATAATGACGATATATATATATATATATATATATATATTTCTGAACTAAGATAATAAATAGCATGTTTCGTTAATACGGTTAATAATACCAAATATGAAATATGACAGTGTTCTCAAAATTATTGAGGTTGGCTGCACAAATCTCATTAAGCCGTTTGCTTAAACTTGTTTTTCTGAATAAATCAGTAGCATTCATATGACAGGCAAACCCATTAACCATCATGCCATCAGCTTTCTTTTTTTTTAAATCTCAGTTCAATGTAATTTCTTACAGTAGGGTAAGGTAATTGAAGGCTCAACTGCTGATCTGCCTTGATCAAGGAATTTCTTTGTTCTTTGAATTATTTTTATGAACATGCAATTAAAGTCTGTGCAGCTTGCCATATAGGAGAAACTTCAGCTTCAACCATAACAACACAAGAGCACACAATAGATACAAACTCAAGATTAACCTCACCAAACTTGATTGCAGGAAATACGACTTCAGCAACAGAGTGGTCAATGTCTGGAATACTCTACCTGACTCTGTGGTTTCTTCCCCAAACCCCAAAAACTTTAACCTTAGACTGTCTACTATTGACCTCACCCCTTTTCTAAGAGGTCTGTAAGGGGCGTGCATAAGCGCACCAACGTGCCTACCATCCCTGTCCTATTGTTTCTTTTATTTTTCTTATATGTACCCATTTCATGTATTCATAACTATGTATATACTTATACCTATTATCTTGTAAGCAATTGACAAATCAAATCAAACAAATAAATAAAGGAGCACTAGTCTACATATTCAGTGAAGAGCCAAGGATATCCGAGACTGGCAAATGTACTTGTGTAACCCAGGCTGTCTTGAAACAGCTTGTTCATCACAAACAGCTTGTTCAGCCTTCTTTTCTAAGAAGGGCCATGCCATATTCAGTTGATCATACTGTCTGCAACAAGAGACAACCCACTATCTCTCTAGGCAGTGTTTCTGGAGAATGTCTTCTTATCTCAGCCAATATGCTGCCCCATCTTCAGTTCCCTATATTTTATAAAAAGCAGAAAACTATGCTAGGTTGTGTAACTGCTGTGCTGTTAAAACTTTTTTTTTTAAAAAAAAAATGATGACTGTTCTGATCCAATTTAGGCAGTTTGCATGCATAAAACACCAGGATCAAAATAAAAATTCACCTCCGAGCCCTAGTAACTAAAAGAAAGTTAATAAAAACCTTTTTTTTAAAAAAAAACCTTGGTTCTATATAGCCAGACACTTACAGGTAGTCCTAGCCTTATGACGGCAATCAAGCCTAAAATTTCTGTTGCTAAGCAAAACATTTGTTAAGTGAGTTTTGCTCCATTTGCAAACTTTCTCGCTACAGTTACTAAGTGAATCTCTGCCGTTGTTAAGTTAGTAACATGGCTGTTAAGTGATTCTGGTTACAAATTATAAAATAAATCTACTGCCTTGAATGAAGGTACCAGAGCGTTTTAAGCTACTGAACCATTCCAATCAAGCTCATTCACAACTAAAAGAGAAATTACAGTGTCCACCATATTTGGAAGCTCAGGGAGGCTGCAGGATGTGTGCGAGTAGAGGGAGGCGGGGAGCAGAGCACCTTGTGACCTTCCCTGCTAGCTTCCCCATTGATTTTGGTTGTGGGAAGCCAGCAGAGAAAGTCACAAAAGGCAATCATGTGACCATAAGACACTGCAACGGCCAGAAATTCAAGGAACAGTTGTAATTACCCCTCAGCATCGTGACAACTTCAAAGGATTGGTGAAGCGGTATGAGCAACTGAGGACTATTGTATTACACAGGCCATGTCCACATACCCTGCTAAGCCAAGTGTGACCATGAACGTGGGGTAGGATGCTGTGGCATGCTAAATAATATCCATTTGTTAAATATCAGATGACATATCAAATTAGAGCCAGGTCTTCTTCATCTTTCAATTTGTTTTGCATTCCAGTTGCTTTTGTGGTAACGGCTGATTAACATGCCCTGGTTTTTATTTTATTTACCCTTAAAAGCTTTGGGGAAGGGGCAGGCGGGAGGGGAGACTATCTTGCCTCATTCATAGTTAGTGAGAATTATGGAAAGCCAAGCATTCTGCCAGCCCCACGTAGAATATGAAACGGGATCCTTAATGGAAAATCCAAAATGGCAACAGTTGCTAACACCATATTATTCATCCAAAAGGATTTTCGTTTTCTACAATAAAATCTGCAAAGCAATGCATTACTTTCTTACCTTTAAATTTGGATCGAATATTTGCCAGTTCTTTGTTTATTCTTTTAATCTCAGCTTCTTTGCTTTTACCTGGGGGGAAAAAAAACGGGGAAAAAAACCTCTCAGTTCAGAGTACAAATTGGGAACAGAATGTACAGTCTTTAACATCACAATAATTTGGAGGGTTTAAATCAGCATTTTTCAAACTTGGCAACTTTAAGTAAATAATACCCCAAAATCAAGAAATTGCCCCAAAGCCAACACTAAAGTGCCCAGCCAAAGAAGCCAACACTAACAGGGCAAGCCACTAGAACTGTGATGGCATGGCAAACCTATGGCATGCGTGCCAGAGGTGGCACACGGAGCCCTCTCTGTGGGCATACAAGCCGTCACCCCAGCGCAGTTCTTCCAAACATGCATGCACACGCCTCCCACCAGCCAGATCTTTGGGGCTCTGCTGTACATGCACAGAGATGGGGTGCATGTGTGGGGGATTCACGCACATGCAGGAGGGGACACATGTATGGGGGGTGGGGTGCATGCGCAGGGGTGGGGCGCAGGGACGGAGATGCACACGCATGTGTGGGGGATGCACACATGCGTGGAAGACACACATGCATGTGTGGGGCGTATGTGCGGGGGCAGGGCATATGCACGGGGGCACACATGTATTGCATTTGGGGGATGTGCACATGTGCTTTGGGCACTTGGTGCTGAAAACATTAGCCATCACTGCACTAGAATATAAACTGACAGCAAAGTACACTCCTTAGTAGCACTGATGATGTTACCTAGTTTGGGTAGTGAAACATCTGCAAGAAAGCAAGAAATCTCAGAGAGTACCAAGGATCCCTCTTGGCAACTTTAAGATGTGTGGGCTTTAGAATGCAGAATGCAGGCTAGAGAATTCTGGGAGTTAAAGTCCACACATCTTAAAGTTCCCAAGTTTGAAAAATATGGGTTTAAATCCTACATTTTTTTTCTCTCATCCTTTTGTAATAAACTGATTGTAAATCCCTTGATGTTCCTGCTGTACTACCTCTCTGACCTTTCTTCACAAGATGGTCCTGTCTTGAAATTAGGATTTGCCAATGGTAGCCCTTGATTAAAATTTGAAAACCAATGAAACGGAAGGAGATGAAGGAGAAAAAAATTCCAAGAAACAGGGAATGATGCACAACGTTTCATTAGGATCTTTTATAAATAAGACAATGACAGCCAGTGGTGATATGCTATCAGTTTGGCCTGGTTCAACCGAACCGGTAATAAAAATCACTACCAGTTAAACAAAGCCTCCGATCAGCTGAGAGGAGGCAAAAAAAGCCCCAATCAGCTGAGAGGATAAAAGACCGAACAGCGCATGGGAGAGTAGGAGGGTCGCTCCTAGCTTTTCGTTTCTTCATCCTCTCAGCTGATTGGCTTGTTAGGGGTGCTCATGCACTATCACACACCTAACCGGTAGCAACTAAGGTAGGATACCACTACTGATGACAGCATGCAATATAATATAAAACTGACGGGAGTCAATGCATTTATGATGGATAGTAAGTGTGACTGGAAAACATCCCTCCAGCCAGATGACATTTACAGAGATTAATTCTAGCTTCTTGCTAGATGTAACACAAGTTATGCTGACCAATGTAAAAAAAAAAAAACACCTTTGGCCAATAGTACTTTTAAGGTAGAAACACAATCACATCATCTTTCTTTCCATATAGAATTGATAAAACTATATCAGATGTAATTATTTCACTTCACTGAACAGGGATGAAACAACCCAGCTGTAACTATCCATGTTTGAATAACACTATAGATATACAACAAGAGGGAGGGAGGGATAGAGGTGTGTGTATCCCCTTAGGTGATTATTTGTTAAATTGAAGGATGTTCTCAGTACTGTAAATGTTGACTATGTTATAATCTGGTTCCAAATACATTTCAAAGTGCTGTTGCTTACCTAATGGCTTAGCACTATGCCAAACTCTCTTGAATATATGAAAATTCACTTCCTGAAGACATCCGTTCAATAACATTTGGTGGGGGTGGGGAGTGAGGGTAGAGGGAAGGGTATGTTCTTTCAAATTAATATTGACTCCTAGAAACTGCCTGGACTAGGCTTGAAGTTTTCTTTCCAAGGTTCTTCAGAAATGGTTTGCCATTGCCTGTTTCTAGGACTGAGAGAAACTGACTGGCCCAGGGTCACCCAGTTGGCTTTTTGACTAAAGTGGGACTAGAACTCATGGATTCTGGATTCTAGCCTGATGTCTTAGCCACTGGACCAGATAGGCTCTCTAAGTCATCATTATTGCCCTTTTATTTTATGCCTCTGAAGATTTTTTTAACACATTTTTCTCACAACATTTTTTTGTTTCCTTTATTTATTTACTTACTTACTTACTTACTTACTTATATTGCCGCCTATTCGCCCATGGCACCTCAAGGCGGCTTACACAATGTAAAATCATATTTAAAACAAAAAACAAAAACAATAAGAACTAACAAAAAGAATCCAGTAAATTTGGAAAACAAAAAACAAAACAAAAACCAACTCCCACCCACCCCACCCCGACGACAACAGGTCACACTAGCCATCTGAGGCTTCCATCCCTCTCTGGGTTCCCCAGGCCCATTGGCAAAACCAGGTCTTCAGTGCCTTTCGGAATAGTATTAATGAGGGGGGCATTCTAATCTCTGGGGGAATGATGTTCCAGAGAGATGGAGCCACCACAGAGAAGGCCCTTCTTCTAGGTCCCATCAGGTGTATTTCCCTCGGGGTGGGACCCGCAGCATTCCTGCCTCCTCGCTCTAATGGGTCGGGTAGATGTCACTGGAGAGAGATGTTTCCTCAGATAACCCGGACCCAAGCCATGAAGGGCTTTAAAGGTGACAACTAGCACCTTGAATTGTACCCAGAAGCAAATTGGCAGCCAATGCAGCTCCTGCAGGAGAGGTGATACATGTGTACACCGGGGTCTGCATAAAACTATGCAGGCCACTGCATTTTGCACCAACTGGAGCCTCCAGATGCTCTTCAAGGGCAGCCCCATGTAGAGCGCGTTGCAATAATCAAGACGGGAAGTGACCAGGGCATGAGTGACTGTGAGTAGGGACCGCTGATTCAAAAAAGGGCATAACTGGTGCACAATCTGCAGTTGCACAAAGGCCCTCCTGGCCACGACCACCACCTGCTCTTCAAACAAGAGTCGTGAGTCCAGGAGAACCCCCAGATTATGCACAGGGTCTCTTTGGGGTAGTTCCACCCCATCCAAGACTAAAGGTGGTAATTTTCCCTGAACCAACGAACCCCCGACACAGAGCCACTCGGTCTTGCATGGGTTTAGTTTCAATCCGTTGCTCCCCATCCAGCCCCTAACAGCCTCCAAGCATTGCGAGAGGGAGGACACAGCAACACTTAACTCACCACGGGCCAAGATATACAGCTGAGTATCATCAGCATATTGATGATACCTCAGTCCATAGTGATGGATGATCTCACCCAGTGGTGAAATATATAAATGTTGAACAGGAGCAGAGAGCCATGAAGCAGTGGGCGAGGGTTGGATCTCTCACCTCCTATCAACACTGACTGAGAGCAGCCACAGAGGAAGGAAGTGAAGCAAAGCAACACAAGGCCTTCCACTCCCATCCCCTGAAGCTGTCCCAGGAGAATCCCATGGTCAATGGTATCAAGACCCGCCAAGAGGTCAAGTAGAGCAAGGATGGATTCACTACCCCCAACCTGCTCCCGCCAGAGATCATCCAAAAGTGCAACCAATGTTGTTTCTGTCCCAAATCCAGGCCTGAATCCTGATTGGTAGGGGTTGAGAAACCTCATCCAGAAACCTCTGGAGCTGCTGCGTGGCCACATTCTCAACAACCTTGCCCAGAAAGGGAAGATTGGAAACAGGTTGGAAATTATCCAACCGGATGGAGTCCAGCGACTTAAGAAAAGGGCGGAACACAGCCTCCTTAAAGTGCTGGGGCACCGTCCCCTCCTGTAGAGAAGCATAAATCAGTGCTAGAGTTCACCCGCCTGTCACCTCCTGGGAAGCTTTCACAAGCCAGGAGGGACATGGGTCTAAAATACAGGTGCTCGCACGCATACTCCCTAGAATCCTGTCCACTTCCTCAGGAGCAATAGGATCAAACCGTTCCCAGGTAATGGGGCAAGAACCTGCCATAGAAGCTTCCACCGGATCAGCAACCACGCCGGCATCTAACTGGGAACGAAGTCGAGTGATTAATGAAATTAATTAATTAATTAATTAAAATTAATGAAATTACCTAGACATTCTGTTGGAAGACAATTATATCAAATGTAATTGATACATTTTCCTCAATAGATTTAGTCATTTTGCCCAGATTTCTTTACATTACCAGGAAAAGAGTATCAACACACTGAACTTCTATCAAAAACAGTTCTTTTCCACTGCAGGCTGAACACTGACCTTCTAACCTTGAATAGTTCTGATTAACAGAAGGCCTATGAACTTCCTTTGAAAGGTCATTTAAACAGATAGGAATGTTCAGTGACTTTCTTTCTACAATGTTACACGGACTAGTGAAACTAAGTCTACTGTAAAAAAGACAACAATGCCTCTCATTTTCATTCAGTGTGTGAACAAAAAAAAAAGGAAAGAAATAGGCACTCCTTCGCATATTTCTTTCAGAGCAGCTCCTGCCTATAAAGCACCCAAATATGAAAATAAAGCTGGAATATCTATATGTACATTTACAAACTGGGAACTCCAACGTACAAAATGAGAACAAGTTCCAATTTTTCTGATCCCCTGGCAAGAAACAGTTTGTCTTTCCTATCTGCATACCTAGTAGGGTACACACTGAAATGGTATGAAGAACTGTATGTGCCTGGACAGCCATTTTAAAAACTCTAAGGCAAACTTTTAAGTCATATTTTTAGCAGCCTGGTTGAAGACTTTAAAAGGTAGCTCAAAAAGTGAAGGCTTTAACTGTGTAGCAAAGCAGGTCATCTTCTTAGGTTGACTCAGCCTTCCATCCCTCTGAGGTGGATAAAATGAGGACCCAGATTGTTGGGGGCAATATGCTGACTCTGGAAACCACTTAGAAAA